GCTCAGGGTTAACAGGCTAAAATAGTAATTAAGCAACAGAGATAATTTTATGGCTTTGTTTAGATTCACAAACTGCTGTCGGCTTCTTCATATTCTTTGCTTTTGTTACGTTAATTTTCTAGAAACAGAACAATATTATTTTATAATAATACTGTTTACGATACTATTCTAGTAAAAATATTTGTAAATTTCATCTTTCTTAATTACATCTGAGGTTCGGTTTTTAAAGGTTACATGTGCCCAATTTATGAAAAGCGGCATATCTCCATGAATATTTTCTTTTACTAAAGTATTTTCAAATAGAGTAGATTAAAAAGCGTTAAATTTGTTGCAAAATAAGTTATAACTACAGTTTGTATTCGATCTACGGTCAAGGAGCTATCGAACTATTTGCTTCTAACGTTTCTAACGTTTCTCAATCCGAAACATGGATGATATCTGTCTTTGTGACAAATTCGACGCTCTTCATACGGCAATGTTTCAAGGTACTTTTATACAATTGAGAAACATCCATCATTTCTCATACACATTTTTACGAGGTTTTCCTGGCTTGTTTTATCCAAGTTGAACCTTGTACCAGTCTAAAGTAAAAAGTTTGAGTTTTCAACTTTTCACGCCAAATATTTCAATCCTAGAAACGTGGGTTAAATCTATTATTCCAAATTATTCCGAAAATTCTTCAGTTTTTGTAGCGTCTTGAATCGATTTCACTCATCGATGCTCAAGGTTAGGTTAGGATTAAGTTGCCAAACTTTTTATAGGTTAGGTTATAGGCTGCGGAAACGTGGCAACCTGTAGTGCTCTGGTTTCACACTCACTTTAATCCTCACTTATTTCATTTATTTTGCGTCTTCTACACTTTCCACATACTTGAACGCAAAACTAATAACATATTTGAGATCAGCAGACAAAACAGCATCGAATGGCATATTTAGTAGTGGTTTTGTTGAAGAAAAAACATTTCATCTAAAATTTCTCCTTTAGCCGGAGGTGAGTATGGAAGCTTCTGTCTGTTTAATGGCGATTATTTGAACATTTAATGGTAGTGGTTCGTAAAAACAAAAGTGATTGCTTATATCTGACTTTAAACAGTAAAAAGGCTGCGATTATTTATTTTTGAATATAAGAATATTGTCTAATAAATAGCAATGAAATGCAATAAACCCAAGCCAATTAAATGCCAAATGCATAAACCATAAGTTGACTTGATGTGATTATTGTGACTATGTTGTTACTATTATCACTCGATTTAAGACTAAAGTTCTACATATCACTAACTCGACGACACTCAGTCAATCATGATTATTCCCAAAACTGCAGCATTCCTAATTTAAGAAAAATTTTACGCGTTTAGCGAATTTGTGACATGAACACGCAAGAAACCGTGTCTGTACGGAAAATAACATGCAAGAAGCGCACTAAAATACGCATTGCCGTTCATCTGTACTGCTGAAATATTTCTAGTTAAGAACTTGTGTATGTATATACACTTTCCACTTCTACAATTTTTTTCATATAGCATCGTTTTATGGTCAACAAAATTTCAAAGTGTTTTCGAGATTTTGAAATCCAATTTGGGCCTTTTTTGCGATAGGTAAATGTTCAGCAAAGCAAAATCGAAAATCACTTTTTAATATTTCATTCGAAAGAACTTAAAAAACCATTGTAGTAAAAAATGTGCCAACCAAAAAAATATCTAGTTACTCAGAAGGCTTTCGATCCTCCCAAAGTTTTGTCGAATATGGATAGTACAAAAACAACGTAAACTAATCAGATGTACCACTTCGCGTGGAATTGGCAAGACATAAGCAAGAATCTTTTAGAACATCATATTTTTAGTATGCTACAGTTTTTCACAGTTCTTCTACCGGTGTTTTAAATAAGTCTCTCTCTTTTCTTTTTTGACAGTGTGAAATAATGGACTTTAAAGCACAGTTTTATAAATTTTACATACATATTTCTCGAAATAAATGAGACGTTGGTTTGAAAAATAGATTCAATCAATTAATATCACAGAATTAAGATCGAAATTTTTCACTACGTTAAAGTCTTTTAACAAAGGTGTTTCATTCATTAGGTATTTATAGTCATACTGTTCAAGTGATTGTTCCACAGACGCATCTGATAACTGAATTAATATAATATACAAAATATGATCTAATCTTGAATAATATTCATTTGTTGTTGCATCCCAAAATTTATGTTTTGATTTAGGATCATTAATAGTTTCAACTATAACATCTTGTACTTCATTTATAGACATAACATTATTACGTGCTAAATTAACTAATATTTTAATAATTAAATATTTTTTATCTAAATTATTTGTTTTTAAATATGTCAATAAATATTCGATGATATCTCGATTTGTTTCATGGATATTTGTTATACATTCAAATGCACAAGATTTTAACTCATTATTATTCGATAGGATTGCATCTATAATCATATCCAAAAGATTTTGTGTCAATTCACCGTATTTTGATAAAACTTTCAAGCAAGAGCATCGACGTTTATAATCATGTTGTTTACTTGCATAATATAGTTGATTTTTTAATTTTACTTCACCAAATGAACTTTCCTTTATAGCAACACGGAATGCAGCTGGTGATTTATTCATTAAAACAGCTGCAATTTCAATATATTCTGAATGACCAAAATGGATGTAAGAAACAGTCTCATAACCATGTTCAACGTTTTTTGTAAAATGTTTTATACTTTCATACAAATCTTCAACGAATTTAGATAGAAGCCATGTATATTTCAAAATTAAATCTACTAGCAGTTCTTCATGATGTCTATTATTGTTATCATAAAAATTTGTATTTGATATCATTAAATTTTTATATGTGAGTTCGGTATCTTGATTGAATAGACGAGTTGATCTTACTAATTCAATTTCAGCTGCCTCAGCAACAACTGTTGAGATATATTTATCCCGAATCTGTGATAATAAAATATTGTCGCACCCTTGATGAAATTTATAATGAGATCGTATGCACATCGCTATAAGTTCATCAGAATAACCAATTTCTTTACCAGTTATAATTTGTTCTGAAACAGATTTAATAATTTTATATAAACAATTTTTTTTGTATTCATATACTCTACAAAAACCTAGAATAAATGCTGCACACTGTTGAACTGATAAACTCTTGTTTGTTAGCATAATATGATTGACGACTTCAATCACTTGTTGATGTTCGCTACGCGAATCTGAAAGTAAGTTTTTTCCACAATGAATTAGTAACGAAATCAAATATTGTTGATGAATTTCGGTATTAGTATGAGTAAAATTGGTATTTATATATGAATTTTGTAGTTCTAGATGTTCAATAAAATACTTCAAAGTTTCAGATGTAAATTTGGTCATCCAGTCTACAATGGATACATTTAAATCCAACTCTAGCAACTGAAATTCTTTGTACTTATCATTCGTTGAAACAAAATTTATACCATTGCTTTTTATTGTTGATAGTAAACGAATTCTATCTAATTCAAGTGACATAAAATATGATAAATCCTCAACAGCATCGATCAGACAGTCGTTTAATATTGCAGTTAGAATCGAAGTTACATTAGCCGATTTTGTTTGGTAATAGATCCACTGTTGTAGTAATGCGAGTATAACATCTCTATTTGTATTTGAAATGAGTCTAAAAATTTTTGAGAGTGTATAATGTGCTCTTGAGGAAAAATAATTATCATCGTTTGAAAGTAGATAACATAAAATATGTATTGTTTGACATTTACAAACATGAATTTGTGGCAATAACAATGCACCATAACATGCAAGAGTATGTAGAATTGAATCATCGTGATGAATATTGAAATGGTTAAGCCATTTATCTACTAACAGATATCCAGTAGTCTCGAGAGTTTCAAAATTTCGTAATTCATGCGTCAACAGCTGAAAATAGGTTTGCATTTTTATTGGCAGTGGTTGACAGTGATCCAGAAATTTTGAGATAATCTGTATTTGATTGTATGTTATAATACGATCTTCGTTGGGTTTCAAAACAAGTTTAGGATCGTACGATATGCAAATATTATCACTGACAAACGGTGAATTATCCGACTTTGTTTGCAGAAATTGTAACACTTTATCTACATCGACCGATAGTTGAACAAGATAAAGAGATGCCACGAAAACGGTTTGCTCAGATTTAACCAACATGTGATCTTGTCGAAGATAATCCTTGAAAATGAATGAATAACAGTCAAATATTTGTGTCAAGTTTTCTGAATTTAACCATGTACATTCTGATAAAAATTTTAAAAGTTTTGCAGAAATAGACGGAGCATGATTAGTTATCGTTAATAAACCGTCAAGTATTGCTTCATGATCCTTTTTATTTATTTTATCTGTCTTTATACCGCTAATAATACGATCAATTAATTGATTTTTAACATCGCTTGTATTCATAAATTCTATACAATGTATGACTAACTTTGCATAGAGCAATGGGGATAAACTGGATGGTAGTTTTGATACAGCTATGATTAGATTATTTTTTATGTCTTCATAATCATTTACTAAGACACAATCATAATAATTACTATAAGAATATTTGATTATAATAAGAATTTGAGTAAATGCACATACTTTTAATATTCTACTTTTGATCGCTAGTACTGTTTGCTGCGATTCAGTTCGTAATTCGTTGTATTCTTTAGATATAGTTGAACTTTGAGCAAGGAATAACGATGCTGTATAAAGCGTTAAATCGGCTTCTCTTTCATCATTTAAATTCAAAGCATCTTGTATAAGACAACGTTCTTGAATAAGTGCCATATTCAGTTGTTCAATTTTGTCATATCGATTAACAATATTTATTGAAAGCTTATTTATTGACTTATCTGCAATAAACTTATCATAATAATACCAAAATCTTTTATATTTTTCATCATCATTACAATATTTCCAAAGTAATCCGAATGTAAAACTACTCATTCTATACGAACAAAGAATGGGTTGTAGAACAACAAGAAAAAGTGCCAAACGTAATGGATTATTCTTTATATTACCATCATTAATATTTAATAATAAACAATCAGTTAATAAATAAGCATAAGGTAATGCATATTGCGTTGTTACTTTTATATGGGGTACACATAATTCATTTGATAGTATCAAACGTTTATATAAATGTTGAAAATGTTTTGGAGTATATGCAATTAAATAGAATGGATCATTTTTATATTTTTCAATTGGATGTCTTTGTTCAGTTATTTTGAGTTTATCATGATATTCAGCCGTTTCCATGTATACTTTATCAAATACTCGATAATAACAACAGCAGAATATATTCATATATTCTGGTAAAAAATTAGAATTTGATATGTACTGTTGATATGATGTAAAAAATTGTTCCATAAAATCTTTGTGTTGCATTAAACGTTGGATAAAATCTATTCTTTCGAATAATTGTAAATGTTGAAGGCAATATTGAGAATGTGAATGTGTGTTATCATAAATTGACATATCAAGAATTGTTAAACGATAAAAACTCATTACAATCGATTGAAAGAAAGTAAAAAAATGATCGGCTTCTGATTCATTTACGATACTATTAATTTTATTTACTTTCATGTAATCATCAATTATATTTCGTAGCATAGAATTAAAATTTGCTGGATCATTGCATTTAATAATATACGTTTGTCTCAAATAATATGATATTCGTTTCAGGCTATGTGAAGCCAAATGTAACGCTTTGTATAAATAATACGATTCATTCACCAACAATACTTCCACACCTTCCAAACATAATAAAACAATGAATAAATCAATTGTTTCTAATGATTCATCATTGACGGAAGTACTTTTTAGCTTCTGTTTGCAATATGTAGTTAATTCTTCTAGTTTAACTGAATTCATATTTTTGTAATCAGCTAAGTATTGAATTATAATTTTTGATAAAGCAGAATTTCGATGTATGTGCGTTGGTGAAAATTTGATTACAGTATCATCTTCGTTACTAATAGAATATAAACCACTATAAAGTGCAATCAGAATAGTTAATAGAGATGATGGTATTGAATTAGTAGTAGCTGATTCTAATGTTGTATCCAAAGACGTTAAAAAATAATTCTGAAGTTGATTGGAAGTTGATGATAATAGGCTTTTATCCATAGCTGATATTCTTGTTAAACACTGATCAATTATGTACTCATAACCAATCGTATCTGCAATGAGAAAACTTTCTAACATTTTACAAATTTCTTGATCGCACCAAACAGGAATATAGACTTCTTCAATTAATATTTCGGATAATAGTGTACTAAATCCTAAAACGGTATCCGCTGTTGATTCAGATAAAATCTTTTTTACTAATCGATTTTTTGCTTCTGATGAAAACTTTTTTATGTTTTGTTTAAGTTGAAGATTGTAATATGGATAAGTAAAAGTCCAGTTATTAATACATGAAGCCTTTAGTAAACAATCGAAAAGTCGATAAACAACTGTTTCTGATGGATTATGAACCAAATTATCAACTGATGCCAAAAGAAGTAGAGCCCCACGTGGTACAAGTTGATTTAAAACTGGTTCTTGAATAGGATCAAGTAGTTTCAAACAAAAAAGGTTATATTCATCATTTGACCATAACCAACTAATCCATCCAAGTGCTAAAATTAATGGTTCACGATAACGAACGTCTGCTATATAATACAGAAACCGATTAATAACGGCATCTATTGCAGGAGTACTTTCAATACTCTTCAATGATGTTTTTACAATATTCATACAGGTAAAATATTCTTGAAATGTTAAATGTACGAAGCCATAAACTCGTTCACCTCGTGCAGCTATTATACCATCATCATGACGTATAATATCCATAAATTCATCAACTTGTTTCGTAACTGTATTTTCACTTGCTATTGTTGTTGTTATTAACGACATCTGAACTTTTAATGATTTGTAACATAATCGTTTAAGATCAAGTTCATCAATTAAACCAGATGAACTGTTTTGATGGAGATATGTGGCTAGATCAGATAAAATCCAATTTAAATTGTGATCCGATAAACTCAATATTTTTCTTTGCCATATTTTTAAAATTGATTTTACTATATTCGAATAGATATGTATTCGTTGAGTTGGCAACAGTTTTCCGCAACGTTGTGATGCTAAAGTACAAATTATAGATAACAGGAGTGGATTAGATATCACTTGACTGATCGATGTTCGATGATCAACATCGGCTGTTGAAGAGCTATGTTTTAATTCATTTACTAAGAGTTCAGCCTTCTGTTCTGGTTGTTTATCATCAATTTTTAACTGAGGAAGTTTTGATTGCAGTATTTGAATTATTTTACCGAAAACATTAGCGAACCAATTCTTAACAAACAATGTAATATCATCATAATTCATTGGCTGAATAACATAATGAGAAATAAGATCACCATTCAATGGCTCCATATAGTAGCCAACGATACGACTAGTAACAATAAGCTGATTTCCACCAATACCATTAGGCAATATGTCTAGCCGAGCACATAATGTTATATTATCGAACCCTGATACAAAATTGGATGTTAAAACATACATGTCAGCAAAATTTTTAACTAACCGTACAATTTGACGACGTAAGTCATATTTATGAACTTCATCGAGACCATCTAGTATAATTAATGCTTTACCATTAATCACATATCGTTGTAATACTGAACAACATTCTTTGATTTGCTTTTCGGTTGATTGATTCACAAACACTGAGTTACCAAACCATGTATGTTGACCAATATATTCAAACAAGGATGATGTTTTATTGTTTTGTAGAAAATGAGCAAATTCGCCAATACGTATCAGTATTGGAATATGAGGTTCTTCTTTAGAAGACGTAGGAGATAAACAAAAATCAAGAGCTATGTGAGCCTGTTTCAAAGCTATACATCGAGCAAACGTTGTTTTTCCACTTCCTGGATCACCTAAAATTACCGTCCATTTACTTAAAGATGAGTCTTTAGATGAGTCATATACGTGAACAAAATGTTTTGATTTATTTACAGATGACGCAAACGGTAATGAAGCTATTTCATAATAGAGATCTGATTCATTTTGCTTTCGATTATTATCATTAAAAACTAATTTTAATGTTTGTGATCTTTCATGAATTGAAGTACAATCTTGTTCTAAACGTAAGTATGCTTTTCCAATTGGAACATGAAAATAATTTAATTCATGCTGAAGTATTTCTAGATCTTCTGATGATAGTTGGAAATAATAATTATTATTGTTATTAAATTGATCAACGAATTCTATGATATTTTCAGCAATTCCTCGTATTTCAATGCTGTTATGTAATGAAATACATTTATCCAAATAATTAATTAATAATTGTCGCTGTTGTTTGTTTAATGGTGATGCGTTAGTAATATTTTTAACTATTAAATCTTTTGAACAATAATCACGTTTAGCTAGTATAATTTCATATTTCATACGATCAGTAACATATTTTTCGTTTAACATATTTGACTTTGTTCGTCGATTTAGAACGTAATTTAGACAGACATTGTATTCTCTTATCATTTTCAGCGTACTCTCTGAGGGGTCTGAATAATAATTTTCTTTGTTTAATATATTGTTTAATGAATTAAATAAACGTCGAAAGAAAGGTTCATACCAATCTTCACGTTTAGCTTCGTCTTTCATTGATGAATTCAACAAAAGGGATTTTAGCTTATCAAGTTCAATCCAATTTGAATGCTTCCCTGGTTGTATCTGTTGTTTAATCCAATTTACTAGGATAACAGAGTTATCATAATGATCGGTGGTGGTTGGTTAATAAGGCTTGTTTAAACATGTTTTCTTCGGTTCAGTTCTATATTGAGGAGACCACGGTTGCTCAAACTCTTCCCACCGTATTCTAAAGAAAACATATCAATAAAATATACGACATACAAGACGAATAAAATGACATATCCTTGAAATATACTAGAAAGTGCTAAGGTGTAAAACACGAGATATTAGTGTAATATATGATATATAAGTAAAATTTCGCACATCGCGCTTTTTTGGGTGAGAAACTGCGCATAGAGCGTTTTTCAAAGATTTTCGCTCCAGACTGGCCTTCTATTAAGGGTGGCTCTCTAATTAGGGGGCCTTCTATCCTGGCAGGAAGGGGTACATGAGATAATAATGAAATGCAGTAGACATTACTGAAATGAATAATTCCAATAACATCTCCTCTACTTCACTAAAATTTCTTTTTGAATAATAATATCCAGGATTTCACTAATATCTCTTTCGAACGAATATCTCGTGTATTGCATTGATTTTTTGTAAACATTATATATTTGTGCTAAAGAATAAATACTAGATATATCATTCAAACACACGAAATATTATTGAAATAGAGAAGATATTGATGAGATAGGACGATATTTGTGAAATACAGGAAATACTACCGGAATGGGAGAGATATTAGTGAAGTAGAATATATCTGTGGAATACAAAAGATGTCATTGGGATAAGGAGGGCGATAGCGAAATGGACGAGATACTAGCTAAACAGAAAAGATGTTGGTAGAATGAGTTGACGAACTATTAGTGAAATAGAAGAGATACGACCTACTGGAAAATTTCAATATAGAAACGAACGTTCGAACGCATCCATTCTTATCTCAATATATACAAAAACGTCTGAGCGTGGTTCTGTCTCATTTGCGTTTAGATTTAAAATATAAATTTGGGTTAAAACAGAATACATCTAGATGTGTTTTTATATCTCGAACTAACGAGCCTTTTCGAGAAAGTAAACATGTCCACGCAAGTTTCGAAGTTTCGATCTCAATGTAGACCAGAAATGTTTTAGTTGGAAGCTTTCAGAGGGTTTTCTGTTTTTCACAAACGAAAAGGAAATGCGGTCGGAAGCACGTTTCACGATAGAGATGTTACCAGTTTTCTTAACTTTGGGGCGCCTGAACATGCCCAATACTGAACAAACTTCGACCATTTATGAAACGCGTGCAGACTTGTCTAGTTATTCAATCGAGATAAAAACGAGATTTCAAACGCATCTGGACGTGCTTTCTGTCTCAATCATGAGAGGCTCGTACCAAAAATAAAGTTTTTTGAATGTGTCTAGGAACATTTTTATATCTACTAATCATCCTAATGACCCATATTCACATCTTGATGAGGGCGCTTTGTGTTGGCTGTCAGACGGCGTGAAAGCTGACCGTATAGAAGATAAATGTATATGTAACGTACGCGTATGATTTTTTTTATCGTTTTCTCTCTATCATGAAAAAATGATTTTTCTCGATCGTCATCGATAGAACGCAAGATATATATGGATACAACAAGCCAGCAATACAGATAGATATTTTCCTGCATTCTGTTTTTCTGCAGTGCATGGAAAAACTTTACTTGAATAAATCGCTCATAACTCAAGCATCGTTTGACCTAATCAGATTTTTTGACTGTTAAACTTTCAAGGCTCTTCTCTATTTGGAAATCTAAAAGTCAGTACGTGTTTTCAACTATTATAGTGAAGTGCACCGTTAACTTTGCTTAATTCCTTTCGGAGAGTTCTAGTGTGGAAGTCTTAGACTTTTTTACATTTCTAAATAGAGTAGAGTCTTGAAAGTTTGACTGTCAAAAAGTCATCTGATTTGGTCAAGAAATGCTTGACAGCCAACACATAGCGCCCTCATCAGGATGTGAATATGGCTCATTGGAGCTGTAACTAATAGATAGGTCATTTTATATTCACTGTTTACAGAAGCACCGATGGAACCATAGGGACCACCTAAAGTCTACATTTTGTAGACTGCGAACTCACTCCTAGAGTCTTCAATTCTGATAAAAGAAAAAGTTTGTAGTATGGATCTCCAAAACCCAGGTCTCTGAAGACGCACGCTAAATAATTGAACGCAGAAATTCTGATAAGACCAGTTTGTAGAGAAAGTTGAATTGAACGGGCACTCAAGTTTTCGGACATATTAAACAAGTTCTCAGAGATATATTATTTGCTCAAAAAAATTCTAGGCGTGGTAGTTCTTCTCACATTAAGAGTTTTATACCTCCTAAAACTTGTTCGATATGTCTGAGAACTTGTGTACCTGTTCAGTTCAACTTGCTCTACAAGTCTTATCAGAATCACTTCGTTCAACCATCTCCAGGGATCTGGTTTTTACATATCCATATTGGAAAACCATATGTCCTAAAATGAACATCAGATTCGTTATCAGTTTCAAAAATAACCATGGAAAAGAACGTTTTGGTTAAATCAGGGCGAACACTTGGGACAGTTTTCTGGTCAAAAAATTTTCTGATGAAACTTTCTTTTATAAATGCATTCTGACGTGCTGTGGAATACTAACACCTTCGACTTGAAAAATGCATCTTAACGCATTTGAATATATCACCCAAAATGTGAGACGTATCTAAGCGCAAATATGAGAATATTTCGTTCGTCGAACGATATGAAATGAGCGCGTGTAGATGCATTCAGGACAATTTCTGGCCTCAGAAATGTGTCTATATGTAAGGTTCCGGAAATTCAAAACTTCCGTGGTCTTTATTTTTTCTGTTTTTTTGCATAGGTAGATGCAGCTCGTCGAGATGAATCTAACCCTGTATTTTTTATTCGAAACAGTTATTTTTTCCTGTCGAAACGGGTAAAGAACTGAAAAAGGAGGCAAGGCTTCGGGAAAGGCGCTCGTTACAGGAAAAGGCCTACAGTTTTTTAACGTTACGAGCTACGCTTTGAAAGTTCTTTTCCTGAATCTGCGTCAAAAACTGATTTAGAAAACGGCTTTTCGAATCTTTTAAATAGATTTTTGCTCCCTAAAATCGAGGGTGACTTGAACGAGAAAAACGGGCCAATGCGTCATGCCAAAAGATTCTCCTTCTGGTTTCAAGTTAGAGCCGATATTTTTCGCTGGAAATCTTCGTTAGGTACTCGTTCAAAAAAGTATGTATGCTCTTTTCTTAATTCTCTTTCGTTCCTGAGCTATAGCATTTTTTCGAAACACCATGAAAATCGACCAGGTGATGTCGAATTTTAGGTAAAAAAAACGCTACATCACCTCGCCGATTTTCACGGTGTTTCAAAAAAATGCTATAGCTCTGGAAAGAAAGAGAATTGCCACGGCTGTATGATTCTAATGACAGAAGCATGTTCTTTCAGTCGTCTTTTTATAACGACCATCAACGAACTCTCTCATGATCCAATATTTCATTCTCTAATGGGTAAAATTTTCAAAATATAAATAAGTGATAAAGCAGCAGAATTAAAGAGAGAGAGAGAGAGAGAGAGAGAGGGTGACGTTGTTGGATGGCATAAATGTACATCTAGATTTTTCTCTGCTTCACGAAGATGTGGTATATCGTTAGTTTCACTTCATTCATACACTTCTCTTACTGTAATCTTTGGGCTCTTTGGGAACCGGAACTAATGCTAGATTCATTGAAGTACCATCATCGTATTCTGTTGCAGAACCGTGCGATTGTTCTTGTTTTGATTGTCCGTATAATGATCTTTGAGCCATCATAAAAACTCACCCTATGAGGGAAAAAATTGATAGATTACATCTCTCGATTCCATTCGTTATATTTATGCAACACATAGAAGCTAATGAAACATATTTGATTTGTCTTCTATCGGATACTATGTATATTTTAACTAAAACACATATAATTTCTTTCAATGGTTTTCGATACTGAAAAGTTTTTCTTAAAAGCTTTGAATGAATCACACCATTAACGTGTTCTAGACAAACAAAGAAATTTTCATCTTTGCTCTTGTATTCTACTCTTTCTCGTTCTTTTCTTTTAAACAAATCACTTCATAAAAATATTGATGAAACAAAAGTTTCTATTAATCGAACAAAATCGATAGAAAGTAGCATTGACATGAGTTATTGTTGCTCTTGCATTTGTAGGGAATAGAAACAATTTGAGAAAGAAAAAGAATTTGTTCAGCATGACGAAATATTTCTGAATATCTTTTGTAATGATGAAACTTTTGTCAATACTGATCAATGTCAGCCTTTTATTTGGTTTTCACTGAGTCAGCTCTTTACAAAGGAAGCTATTAAAATTTTGTTTGAATAAAATGTAGGAAAGAAATCAATCGCGAAAAAAGCACTTTTCTTCGATGTTTGTACAAGAGAAGACATGTATTAAATGTTTCTTGCTTTCCCCATTTTATCCTATTCTTGCAATTAAATTTATTTTAGTAATTCTTATGTATAGCAAGTACATCAAAAGAAGGAAGAATTCTGGCAGTTAATTATAGGCACTAGATGTTCTGTGACTCCATCACTTGACAGTATTGTTCTAACCAAACAGTTAGAATAAGTTGTTAACTATCGTTGTCATAGTGGGTCCGTTCAGGTACTGCATAGAACAAGCTTTTTATATCTGTTGATTGCGAATATTTGAAGCAACATGTTGTACACCAACAAGCAAAGATTTCATAGAGGTCCTAAAAAGCTTTTTGGACCCGTGGCCTCACTGGAGGTTTTCACGATATATTCTTCTATTTCTAGGCTTCCTTTTTTAATATTCAGCAGCTAAATAAAATCTTTTTCACCATCATGCCTTTCCGGATTTCTCTTCGGGTTATGATAATCACAGAAAATGTGTGCTCAAGTGAGTAAGATACGTAATGCCGTAAAAATTATTTTTCCAAAAGCTAGCCTCATATAGTTCCTCATGTTTCTTATAAGAGAGGAAACAGGGTTCCCGATTGTTTTTGGGAGTGGAGGGGCTAAAACTTCGGCCGAAAGTGTATAAGTTTTCACAGAAAGTCGATTTTTTTTGGGCAGAAAGTACACCGGTTTTCTGCAAGAAATTTGGCAGAAACTACTTTGATTTTTTTCCACTAAATGCAGAAACTTTTTAGTGAACTGAACTATAAAAATTTTGCAGAAAGTATTATAAAAAATTATGGCAGAAAGTTTGAAATTTTGGAAGGGAAAGCTCTTCCCTGCCCTCCCTCCCCCGAATCGTGAACGCTGATTGGAAAAGTCGTCCTATATGCATGTTGTACCCTTCATTTTTTTCTTCAATTGCTTCTTTTTCCTTATTTCGATACACAACATACATATACAGCGAACTTTTCTTAAACACAATACAAGAACTTTATCTCCAGTGAATGTATGTTGAAAATGAAGAGATTGCTCAATGGCTTCATGAGGAGTTTTATTGTATAATAAAATCTTGATAAAAAAACAATTACAAATATACTACAGTTGGTCGTGATGACAATCTTATGGCTATATATCGGTATATAACTTCGTGTCGCGATAAACATCGATCTTGTCACTATAGTGAATAACTTACTACTATAAGGCGATATTTATTTAATCTCGTTCTATAGGAATATTCTTTTATTGAGAAAAGTAAAGACTTTATGGAGATAATATTTATATTTCGATATAGAGGAAATAAATTTTAAAAGAGTGTGCCCAGATACGTGTTCTCATCACGATAGGTAGGAATCTTGTCTTGATAGTACGCATATCTCGATATATCGAGTAGTCCGATATATCGTGTTATTGTAATTATCCCTATAAACAAGATGTTTATCGTGATAGTGTTGATTTTTCCACCAATATCGTGCTATATCACCCGATGGTTGCTTAAAAAGTCCTCATGGGGTGTGCATTATGCATTCATAATAAAATGAGACGAAACCTATTCTGTGTTCTTACTTCCAACGTTGGCAAATGGGAATAAAATAGAACAACACCCCTTTATCTATATTTCTTAGACTTAAATGAAAGTAATAGTCTGATTCTCTAATAATGTCTATAAAGCAAATTTTGTTACTTGTTGCAAGAAATCATAGTGCTTTGACAGTGACACTCGAACAGTATGGTCAGCAAGTTATTCAAGGTAACGCTGGCCTATACTACAGTTGGCCACGATGTCGCAGAATAAAGGGGATGGTACGTGCTTATGAAACATTAATCAGTTGTATTTGCTTTCAGTATTGTCAACTCAAATTCGTCAACATTGTTTGACACATTGACACCTATTTCGTTTAATTTTGTCTGCTCTTGTATTCTACTCTTTCTCGTTCTTTTCTTTTAAACAAATCACTTCATAAAAATATTGATGAAACAAAAGTTTCTATTAATCGAACAAAATCGATAGAAAGTAGCATTGACATGAGTTGTTGTTACTCTTGCATTTACAGAAAGGAAAATAATTTCTTTCGAATGATGAAATATTTATTGGTCCTAATTTAGTGTTCTCATCTCCAGTACCCTATAGGTATTTGGGAGCTGTATAGAACACCCTGATCACTAACCTCCAAGTTCATTTTTCAAAATATTTTGATTGTTCTCCTTTAACATAAACATGAAACAGAAAGTGCTCTTTTCTGAACTTCAACAACTGAACTTTTCTAGATCCGGAGCGAAAAAGTCGTAACTTTGCCCATATTTCTCAGTTTTCTCCATCAGAACTCACCTTTTATATAATACAAATATCATGTTCGCAATTCAGCGTAAAAAACTGAGTCGAATGGTGTACCTTTTCTAACCTTTGCGAACACGGTACAGTTTTTGAATTTTAACCTTAAAATATGGCTTATGGTCTCTATTTTGTAAGCTGGGCGAATTTTTGTAGACATGACTCAGCTTTCCACAGAAAAATGAAAATCAACGAACACATTCCTCTTTTCTTTCAATCTCTGTGTGATGTCAAATATTCGATTTTTGATAGTAAAGTGGAAATGCTTGTCTACCATTTAGTCGATATTTTGTGAGTTGGCCGAATTTTTGTTACATAGAAATTTTGGGTTTGTCTAGTATTCTATTAGGCACGTAGAATTGTATGATTTTTTAGCAGAATAGAAGAACATATAAAGAAATTGAGCAGTTTTGGAAGTGAAGTGTCTCTCGAAATCTTATATCCTTCGAGTATTTTCGATTTTTCGTGTTGAAAACATCTTTTAAATATCTGATTTTCTGAAGCAGCTCGGTGCGCCCTATTCAACGATAGATAATACGTGTTTTCCTGGAAGTTCAGATAACTGATGTGTATGCTACCTAGTGTAAAGAGCATTAAAAAGATGCCTCTAATAGAAGACCACTCTTTCATTCATGGTTGAACGTTGTGCTGTTTTATATCCGCACTCGCACTCATAGGCAGTCACTATATGTCTTTTAGCCAAATCCTTATTCAGCTGTGTGAAACCCAATCAAAAGCGTGAAAGGCTATTTCCAAAATTCTTTCAGTCACAGGTGGAAGATTCAATATATGTAAAAAGGTTATTTCATTTTAAATTTAAACGTTGCTGAGTTTCTCGAACTTTTTACATCGATTGATAAGTTGTACCATAATTGAATGGTAGATGGTATAAAACTATTCCTGAGTACAGGCAGACCACCATGATGAGACGGTAGCAGCTCTCCTGCTTGGCTGCGCAATGGATAACTTACAGGAGTCCATTGCGGTAATAAATCTGTAAGGGGTACTTGTCCTTTTATCACTTTGTAGAAAAGACATAGTCGATAAACATCGAACATGTCACATCTTACAGTATTCGAATTCTCATCTTTTTCCACGTAAAAAGGAGTCCACCCGAGTTCAGAGCAAAATTTTTCGTATAAAGCCCCTTTCGCTCCTAGGATCGCGCGCCCAGCCTCATATTGTAAGGTGTTAATTTTTTCTGTTGTCCCTTCCAAACGCATCCCTAGGTTATCGACCAAACCAATCCGACAGACGAACAATTTGTATAGTTATGAGTTTCACATTCTTTTCTCTCCTTTTTATAGAAAGAAAAAAATACGTAATGGATAATTTCCATGGTGAGCAAAGCATAAGCTAGTTTGTTTTGTTGCCCATTATTATCGCTGTTTATTTTTCTGTCATTTATTAACAAAAAACAGAAGTTTAAATTCAGGATGCAGTCATAGCCATCAGTTGTTATACAATACAAAACTGTTCGATGTGTACTATGTACTAAACCTCTTAGGAGTTTCTTGAACTTCTTTATAATTTAGGAAGATAGAAATTTTTCAATACCTATGGTAAAGAATTGCTGACAATCAGTGCAATATTTTTGCACAATTATCCTCAATTTTGTTTTTGAACTTTTTTCTGCTTTTCGATAGTGCTTATCATTGTCCATCTTTTGTGGATCCACCAAGATGCGCAACTTAATGGACACTGAGATATAGAGTTATAAACATAACCGTCGAGTGGGACCATACCTGAATAACTTTACTTATGATCGATTGGTGAGGTTTCCAACCGGTGGTGCAGGCCAAATTACACATATTTTGCAGTACTCCTATCAGTTTGTAATATTCAAGTTAAAATAAGTTGTAGTATATAAGATTTAAAAATAAGACAAATGGAAATAGATTTTTTTGGTGTGGCACTGTTGAAATTTATCAAAAAATGTTGGATGAATATAGTGAAATAAAAATATTTCGAAATGATTATGACACACGAAAAGGTTTGACATCAAAACCATTAAGTGAAGATAATCAGCATTGCTGAATATTCGTAAGTTTACAAGTATTGTTCA